ATCCAGCACCCAAGAAACTGAGGCAGGAGGAAGCTCATGGGTTTAAGACCTAAACAACACAGGGAGTTCCAGGACAGCCTGGAATACCCAGCAAGACCCTGCCTCAACACCCCACCCCAATTAAACTAGTAAACATTTGCAAAAAATATTTAGACTGGTGCTTGGCAGCTAGCTTTATGTTAGACACTCAGTGAGAGATTAGACAAACAGAATTACTGGTTCTAAGATTTCTGAATTTCACTGGATCAATCTATTTTTGAAAATATAATCCTGGCCAGGCATGGTGGCGCACACCTTTAATCCCAGCACTCGGGAGGAAGAGGCAGGCAGATCTCTGTGAGTTAAAGGCAGCCTGATCTACATAGCGAGTTCCAGGACAGCTGGGGCTACAGGGAGACCCTGTCTCAAAAAGACGAAGAAAAAAAAAAAAAAAGATTCTGTTTTCAGAGCTGGGCATGGTGGCACATACTTTTAATCCTAGCACTTGGGAGACAGAGGCAGGTATCTGTGACTTCCAGGTCAGCCAGGGCTACATAGTAAGACCCTGTCTCAAGAAAATAAAAAATATATTTGAGACACTGCCTTGCTACCCAGGCTGGCCTGGAACTGGCTATCCTCCTACCTCTGCCTCCCTAGTGCCAGTGTTACAAGTGCACACCACCAAGCCTAGCATTCTAAATTTTCCCTGTAGCCCCAGCTGTCCTGGAACTCATTATGTAGACCAGGCTGGCCTTGAACTCACAGAGATCCACCTGCCTCTGCCTCCCGGAGTGCTGGGATTAAGGGTGTGTGCCACCACGCTCGGCTCTTTTCCTTTTTTAATATTTTATTATTTTTATTTTATGCATATGGGTGTTCTGCCTTCATGTATGTAAGTGTACCTTTGCTGTGCAGTGCCCACAGAAGCCACAGAAGTCAAATCCCCTGGAATAGGAGTTACTGACAGTTGTGAGCTGCCATGTGGGTGCTAGGAACTGAAACCAGGTCCTCTATGAGAACAACCAGTGCTCGTACCCGTTGAGCCATCTCTCCAGCCTGTTTTTGTTTTTGGAGATAGGATCTCATGCTGTAACCTGAAACTATGTAGCCCGGGTTGACCTCAAACTCATGGCAATCCCCCTGCCTTAGCCTTCTAAGTACTGGGATTACACATGTGAGCTACCATACATGGCTCACTTCTTAGCTATATGTTGTAGCATAACTAGGGGAAGATGATTTGTTATTCATTTACAAAGAAACGTAGTTTATTTCCTACATTTTTACTCTTCCTCATAAGCCTCCATTACTTTTTTCTCCAACTGTAAATAAGTTTCTATGATAAATATTCTGGCAATTTAGAGTTCAATTTTCTTTTTTAAAATATTTCATTATTTTTATTTTTCATGTATGAGTATATTGCCTGAATATGTGTAAGTGAACCCATGACCAGCAATACCCGAGGTCAGAAGAGGGCATCAGATCCCCCGGAACAGGGTTATAGATGGTTGTCAGCCACCATATGGGTGCTGGGAATCAAACCCAGGTCTTCTGCAAGAGCAGTCAGTGCTCTTACTGAGCCATCGCTCCAGTCTGAGTTCAACTTTCTAACATATTTGTTTGTTTCTTCCTTCTCCTGGCCAAAATTGTACCTACACATAGGCAAAGTTTACAAAAACTACCAATAACATAGATGTTCTTACAGAGTGCTAATTCAATATGAACTGATGTTCATACAGAGCAGCATAATTAGTCCCACATTGTTTTGTTTGGGACAGGGTCTCCTTAAGTAGCCCTGGCAGGCCTGGAACTTGCTATGTAGAGCCACCTACCTCTGCCTCCAGAATGCTGATATTAAGAGTGTGGGCCACCAGAACCAGCATTAGTAAAGCAATTTAAGTGGACTGTAGTGTGGGATATGTAGCGTGGCCTAATACTTGCCTAGCCTTCAAGAGGCCCTGGGTTGGATTTGCAACACTGCAAAATAAACCAACTAATGAAACTTTAAAAAATAGTAATAGTAGTAGCTAGACATAGTTGTATACACCTGTAATCCCAGCATTTAGGAGGTGGAGGCAGGAACATTAGAAGTTCAAGTCTGAACTATGAAAGACTTAAAAAAAAAAAAAGGTAATTGTACATGAGAGTACATTAATGCAAAAAACACATGGGGGGGCTGAAGAGAGCTCAGTGGTTAAAAGTGCTGGCTGCTCTGGCAAAGTACCCAGGTTCTGATCCTAGCACCTACATGGTGGCTAACAACTCCAGTTTCAGGGGGATCTGATGCCCTCGGAAGGCCTATGACAGCATTGCATGAATGTGGTGCAGTTACATGCAGACAAAAAAAAAAAAGTAGTCTCTTTCAAGCGTGGGACTCTTGGTAGGTTAACCACATTCCAGGCTACAGGGAGACCCTGTCTCAAAAAAACCCAGGGGGAAAAAAAGGAAGGGGAGGAGTGCTTAAGATAGCCCAGTTGGGTAAAAAGTGCTTGCCATAAAAGCATGAGGACCTGAGTTCAGATCTCCAGAAACCACATATAACCAGGTGAGGCAGCATGTGTCTGTTGTCCTAGCACAGTGAGATGGGACACTCACATGCCAACTAGCCTGGTACAGAAAGCAGTGAACAAGACAGCTTGTCTCAAACAAGGTGGAAGGTGAGAATGGACACTCCCTCTTGTCCTGTAACATCCTCTACACAAGCACTGTAGAACATGCATGTGCATACACACACAAAAAACATCCTTCTCAACATCACTCCAAATTGCCCCTATAGTCAGTCTGCCAACTTTCCAAATTACCACTAACAACAGTTACAGATTTCATGTTTCAATAAAACAAATACCGCTCCTGTTCTCAGCACTGTGATACTGTTATGTACCTGTCTGGTTCTCTCTGTAAAAGCTCCGTTTCTCATATGTGACTGTAAATCTGGTTGTTAAATTCAAGACATTTTCAACCACAATTCAGTCTTTCCAATTGTGTCAGAATGATCACATATGAGTACAAAATCTTCAGAAATTTGCAGTCGATATGGATTTACACATCAATGCAGCTTTCCTACTTCAAAGCTTGTTCCTTTCCTCTGAACTAAACTCCCCAAACTCTATAAAAATTGACTTTTTTTTTTTTGTCTTTTTGAGACAGGGTTTCCCTGTAGCCCCAACTGGTCTTGAACTCACAGATATCTGCCTGTCTCTGCCTCCCCAGTGATGGGATTAAAGGCATGTGCCACCATGCCCAACTAAAATTGACTTTTTTAAAAGGTGCTAAAAACCCTAAGTCACCTCAAAACTCAAAATACTCCATTAAGATCATCACTGAAACCAAACATTTACTGTCCTGGAAGCCAGAATTAACATGGGTTCTTAACCAGAGGTCCATGGACTCCTCAGGGCTACAAGGTAATTTTATGAAGCCCCTCAAATCGCATGCAAATATTGTACATGCCTTTTTCTGGGAAGAGGGTCCATACCTTTCATCAGAGTTTCAAAGATATCTGTGACCTCCATAAGGTTAAGAAGTGCTCTAGAGAAAAAGCAAAGACAAGCAAATGTGATTAAAGAGTGAGTCCTGTTCAAGCCCTCGGGAGTGTCTCATGTTCCCTTAGCCTATAGCACCTGAAATCAGGTCAGAAAACACTAGGTAAAAGTCATTTATCCAATCAAATGCAAATTCAATACTGACCTAACAAATACTAATATGACAGAAGCAAGAAGTCCACAGAGCAATACAAAATCTATAAAGGAATGTGATGGAGTAAACAGAGACTTACTCCAGGATTTCAAAAAGGGTACAAATACAAAAATATCAGACATTCTACTAATAATTCATTTCTTTCACCTGAAAATTCCTTCTCTGTGTATGCTTTTTAATATAGGTAACAGAATCGAACTACATAACTTTTATACAGAGATATAAAATGGAGGCAGTTATCATTAGACCACTGACAGACCAGTCATAGTAAAAGACTAAACAGGACCTCTTTCTATACATACACATACTTCATTTACCTTATATGTTTTGGGGGTGGGGGTGGAGGAACAGTGTCTCCCTATTGCCCCAGCTGGCTTGGAACTCTATGTAGACCAGGATAGTCAGCGAGGTCAGAAGAGGGTGTCAGATCCCCTGGAACTGGGGTTAAGGACAGTTTGCTGCCTTGTGGGTGCTGGGACGTGAACCCAGATCCTCTGTTAGAGCAAAGAGTGCTCTTAATTGCTGAGCCATCTCTCCAGCCCCAAGCAAAAACTATTTGTAACACCATAAACAATATTTAAGATAGTCTCTCAATTCTTCCAAAAGGAACTGCTGTCCTAACAGAATAATCCACGTGAAAATCTACGTAAGAAAGGTACCATGATCACCAAAATTTACAACTCAAAATCTCTCCCCCCGCCCCTCGTGGTAGGGGTTAGCCTCCGCTGAGAACCTCATGAGGAAACTCAAAAAACCTTTAGGGCTGAGGTGTATTTTTACTAATTCGTTAAGCCGCCTCAGTCGCAGGCTTCCACCGGGAGCCCGATCTTCTAAGGCCTCATCTGGGTTTCAAAATTCGAACCCGGGGGCGTAACCCACCTAAGAAAAAGAAAATGCAATCATTTTCTCGGTCATGTTTGGGATATATTCAGGTAAACATATGCAAAAATGCCACATCTGCTAAGAAGGGAACCTCAGCTTTTAGACAAGAGACCCGGAAGCATCAATCCGGGAAGAAAAAGGAATCCTGGGTCGGCATGGGGGCAAGGAAGGAGCTCTGACGTAAGGCGGGCACAGCAGGTAGGAGGCCCCGCACAGCTGGCGCGGGAGGGTGCCGGGTAACACCTCCGTGGGACGAGAGTGGAGCCGGAACAAGTAGATAGAAAATTCGGAGACACGGACCTGGGCCTAGGCATAGAGGCACAAAGAACCACGGTGGAAGCTGGGAAACAGAAGCGCCTGGCGGGAGTCTCGTAGGCGAAGGCGCCGGCTACCCCACAGAATCCAGTCCCCAGAAAGTCCGGCGCGGCCCTCCCGCCTAACGGTACCTTGAGTTTGTGGAGCTCCACCGTCTCCGCCGCCATCTTGCTGGCCCTCACTCCACCAGGCCCCCACCGCGGCCCAAGCCTCCAGGAACTCCCGCTGCGGCGGGAGCGGCCCGGGACTGGCCAATAGCCGCCAAGCTTACTCCCACCTCCCACCATCGGCTCTTCTCATTGGTGATGAGCCGGCGTCGCTCTCACTGCCCTTTCCACCGCGCTCTCCGAAGGCGGGGTCTGGGGAAGGGCGGGGTTTGTATGGGTAACGCTAGAAGAGCGGCCAATCTCAGGTCCTCACTGCAGGCAGCCGACCAATGGCTGGGGCAGCGCTGCTTCTGCTCCACCAATAGAAAGAGCGCGGATTAGGGGCGGCCACTTCCTGGAGACCGCAGGTGTAGGAGCGAGCGCCGCGCCCCTCGGACGGGCTCCCGGAGCTAGCAGGTAGGCGCTGCGCGGGACCTTTGAGGGTGGCCCGGGGAAATGGAGGAGCCAGGCAGGGAAGCGCAAAGTTAGGCGGGAGTTCCTGGGAGGACCGCTTCAGAACGACGCGCGAAAGTGGGACGCTAGGAGGAGGATTTTAATGCAGGCCGGAGCTGGTAACCAGGCTCCACAGCTAGCAGGATTCTCTAGAGCCAAAAGCAGCCTCAGAAGAGCGAGGACTCCGCCTCTCGAGGTAGAGCTCAGGTCCCTTCCTAGACTAATCCAGAAACTGGGTAAGTTCTCGCAGCACCCACGCTTCAGAGAAGGGATGAGGTTGCTTGTTGCTAACATGCCAAGAATGTGAGAGACTGGGCAGACAGGCTCCAGAGAAAAGGTGGGGACTAGAGGGAGCTTTACTCCAGGTATCTGATTGGCCTCGATTGCACAGCTCTCTCGGAACAATGGGTGTGTGCTACGTCTTTATGGTTTCTTAACTTCTTCAAATTAGACGAAGACACTCCTGTTTCCCCTCGTCCCTCAAGTGGGTGTTACAAGCCTAGGTTTACTTCTTCAAGTTATAATTGAAGTGTAAGATTTCAGAATAAAAATTACCAAGTTTCTAAAAGTAGGGAGGACTTTTAATTTCCTTTTTAAAATATTTCTGTGTGTATGCTTGCCACAGCGTGCACGTGGAAGTCAGAGGACAACTTCCAGGAGTCAGGAGCAGGATCTCTCCTACCGATGTAGGTCCTAGGAAATCCAACTCAGGAGTTCAGGGGATTTGGGCTTCTCAGAAGACAACTGGGGAACAAGCTCAATCGGGGTTAAGAGGAAATTGAGTTGGACTCCTACCTGCTCCCTCACTATGGTAGGATGAACGTGGGGGTGGCGCACAGCGAAGTAAACCCCAACACTCGTGTGATGAATAGTCGGGGCATCTGGCTGGCCTACATCATCTTGGTTGGACTGCTGCATGTGGTTTTACTCAGCATCCCATTCTTCAGCATTCCTGTTGTCTGGACCCTGACCAATGTCATCCATAACTTGGTGAGCACTAAATCACACCCTTGTACCCAACCCAGGTTGTCCCAACCGAAAGCAAAAATCACCAATTGTTTGGGGATTTATGGCTTCCTTTTGGGATCTTAGTGTAATTCTTAACCCAAAAGACTACTTTCTGCCCCTCATACTGTCCCTTTCCCTCCTCCCAGGCAATGTATATCTTCCTACATACAGTGAAAGGGACACCCTTTGAGACCCCTGATCAAGGAAAGGCTCGACTTTTGACACACTGGGAGCAGATGGACTATGGGCTACAGTTTACCTCTTCCCGCAAGTTCCTCAGCATCTCTCCTATTGTACTGTGAGTCTGAGGGTAGGGGAGCTGCTGAGTCAGAAATGGCTCTAAGTGCCAGGTGAAAAGGCCCATAGGGAATCTTTTAAAGAAGCGTACCAAGGGTTGGGGAAATGATACAGTAAAGTGCTTGCCACACAAGCATGAAGACCTGAGTGCAATCCCTGGCACATATGTAAAAGCTAGGTGTGGCCATACACAACCATGCATGCCTGTAATGCCAGCACTGGAGAGTTGGAGGCAGAAGCTCCTGGGGGCTTACTGGCCAGCCAGTCTAGCCAAACTGGCAAGCTCCAGATTCAGTGAGACCCTGTCTCAAAAATATAAGGTGGGGAGCACATCCACTTCTGGCTTCCCCCCTGCATATGCACACGTAACATACTAGTTCCGGGCCTACAGAGAGCATTATAAAGTATGAGACAGTAGTCAAGTGTTCCTTGCTGTCTCCTTGGTAATAGAGAACCAGAGAAGGGACTGAGAATAGATGAAACACCCAACTAAATCCAAGTGATTTGACAGTTCCAAAAGAAGCAAATAGATAAAGGCAGAACTGATGTTAATATTTTAAAAAACAAAGCTGACTGGGTGGGGAAAGGAAGCAAAAAGAGCTCCAGTGTCATAAAGGCTGAAATAATTTTAGCTGTCATTTGAAATTTGTCATTAACAATGAACAAACTGATTTCTACTCTCTAGTTAAAGGTGCCATCTGATTATATCCTGAACCTCACAGTAAATACTGTTGATTTAACTGGAGTTCAGATTGCCAAGAACTATACTTCAAAATAGAAGTCACTAGAAAGGCATGAACATGCACATGAGAGACCAACCTCACTCATTTTTTCTTCTCCTTAGCTACCTATTGGCCAGCTTCTATACCAAGTATGATGTTGCTCATTTCCTCATCAACACTGCCTCACTGCTCAGCGTACTGCTACCTAAGCTACCCCAATTCCATGGAGTTCGCCTGTTTGGAATCAATAAATACTGAGGGATGGGTTAAAAGTTCCCCAGGCACTGAAAGAAAGTACTGGAACAGCTATGATGTGGTTCCCTTCGCCACACTATTTTCTGTACCTTGGAAGCCTAAAAGATAGACAAACCTTTTCTAAACTCCAAGAAGAGAAGAAATCGGGAAATGGGGCTCCTGAGCCCAGCCTTGATTGGGCCAAGTCTCTGAATCAGGAAAGGCGGACAAGGTTAAGGGCCACACTACTCTGCTCTGTAACAAGGAGCCATTCGTGTTTGGGCAGCTTGTTTGGTGATTGTTTTTCCATGTCTCTAACTCTGCCACCTTCAAGTTGGGTTTTGCTGTATATTTTCCTTAAAATAAAGGTGGTTTTTTTGTTTTTTTTTTCAATTATTCCTGCAATTTGATAAGCAAGACAGATGTCCTGGAAGAGATATGGAATGCTGACTTACAATTTTTTCTTACTACCTCCAGTAGGAGGTACCTTTAGCTGAGAGAGAATTCTCAAATAAGAAAAAAGAGCTCCAGAGCCGGGTATGGCGGCACATGCCTATAACCCCAGCACTCAAAGAGTCGGAGACAGAATGATCACTGCAAGTTTGAGGCCAGCCTGGTCTACATAGTGAGTTCCAGGCCAGCCAGCATTATTACATCATGAGACCCTGTCCAAGAATGAAACAGAAAAGGGCTCCTAGCTACATGAGCAAAGAAGAGAGGGAAGATTAAGTTGCCAGTTATATATTTATAGAAAGATAATCCCCTGGCTTTAAATAGATATGTACATACAAATATGAACAAACTTAAAAAAATACAAACCCTTGGATCACAAGGGGGTCTCTGGGAACCCCCTATCTTTACCCCTCACCCAAGGGCACAGGGCTGTTTAAAAATCAATGTTGGCCATCCTTGCAACAACAAGCCTGAAGTTAGGGGATTTACCCATAAGGTGAAAGAGGAAAAAAATCAGTTTCCACTTTGAATTCTGTATCTCCAAAATTAGGGCTACATGCTTTCTTGTTCTCCTTTAGATAATATATGAGTAAAGAGGGGGGGACCCCCTGAAATAGGTTAAGAAATAAGATACACTAGGTTTAAAAGGGGGCGTGTGTCATCTGCTCCAAGAGCAAATAAGATAAAGGCATACAGACCCCAGGGAAATACCCAGTTCCCACATCTCAGGAATAGTTGTCCAGCCTAGGTCCAGGCCCTAGGTTCTTTTCTCTAGCCATCCCCTATTTCTTTGGTATTTTCAGAAGACAAGATTCAGTTCCCAGGTGCTGAGGAAGAGGGAGAGTAGTTCAGGGGCTTCCTATGAGTACTGAGTGAACAATTTAAAATTTTCCCTTTTTAAGATACTTAAAAATAAACAAATCAAACTCCATCCTGTGCTGTACACAGCCCTTTTGACTCCCTGACATTGATTTGAGGAAGGAAGAGAAGGGTGTCAACGTTGGAAGGGCCTCCTCACTTTCTTCCGCCGCTTCGGTTTGGCTTCTCCCTTGGGTACTGTACTGCTGGGCTTGGAGGTTGCTGTGGCCCCAGGGCCAGGATGAGGAGCTGCAAAGAAGTTCCCATTGGACATTTGCCCTGGGGGTACTTGAAAGATCCGGCTCAAGAAATCCTGAAGGTCAGCAGGAGGGGTCTCTGGGGTGGCTCTGAGGAAAAAATAAGGCAACAGATGTTATAGTCATATAGTTACCTAGGTTAAAGATATATGAAGTCAGTTCCCAAACTTCCTAGAAAGCAAGGCAGCTAAGAATCCTAAACAGCGCTGAAACCTTACTCAAAATGGAATAGATTGGAGAGAAGTGCCACCTACCTCTGCCGACCACTGGGGCCGGGTACCCGAGAACCAAATGAGATGTGATAAGGAACTCTGTGGGTGTCTGGGGAGATTCCCACACGCTGGCATCCAGCCCACTCTGCAAATAGGAGAGATAATTAACCAAAACATCCATTTAGAGCAAATGAGATGAAGAAATATGACCATTATTTTTAAGAGAACAGAAATATACCTGTGATGTCATAGACTTTTCCATCCATTAGTGCAAAGTAGGTGATTTTGAGGCCCAACATGCTTGACTCTGCCCAAAAGTCTCCTTCCTCAGCAGGATGTAGTCTATTACACTCAGCACAGTATCTGGCACTCTTAGGTTCCCGGTCCATTTCAAATCTCCTGCAACCCAACCAGAGGATAATTCCTTTTGAAGTATGCCTAGGGCATTGCTAGTACTGTTATCATTATGGTCAAATATGGCCAAAATATTTAAAAGACTATCTCTACTTAACTGTCATATATGTCTATGTATACTCTGCCTTCAACTTTCTTTTAGGTTGTTTGAGGCAGGATCATGCTGTGGCAGCCCAGGCTGGCCTTGACTATGCAATGCTTCTGCCTCAGAAGTGTTACAGGTGTGTACTTCCACACTGATCTTTCAACTTCTATGTTTAGGGTATTTTTTTCTTTTCCAAATGGTTTGATTAGCATATATAAAGTATGCATAATAATACTTTTCATTATATTTCCATACATGTATGTGTTTTTATCATAATCCCTCCTTCCCTTCTCTTGTCCCACTCACACTGATCTCCATCCTCTTCCCAACTAGACTTCTCTCTACTTGATGTCTGTTTTGTTTTTTGAGGGAAAGGCTGTGATGACCCATGAAATTTCATTTCATTAAGGTTGATTAGAAGAACATGGACACCTAACCAGTGGCTATACCACTGAAGGAAACACCCTCCTACCCCCCAACAATTCATTGCCTAAAATCCTCGGAAAGGAAAGACTGTAAGACCTGTTTTTTTTGTTTTGTTTTGTTTTGTTTTGTTTTGTTTTTTTTGATAATTCTGTGACATCCAATCCCATCAGGTCATGCTCCCCCTGCCCAAAAAAGCCACATCTATGTTAAAGATTCCTGACTGGTTAGAACTACTGTTGACTGTGGAGTTAGAATATTGCATGTCCAGGGCCAAATTACCTCAGCCTCCTTTAGCCCCTTTAAAATAGCCATTCACTCCCATTGTGTTTGACCCAGCATCCTCGTGGACCATTAGGTAAATACTTTTGGAATGTACTAATAGACCATGAGTTTGACCAACCCAAAAGCCTAGAGTGTCATCACATTATATCTGAGGCCTATAACAGATTTTCCTCCTTTACTGTAACCTGCCTACCTGATATTCCCACCATATATTTAAAAAGTATCTACTTATAACTTTTGTTCTCTAACCTTAAAAACTTGGGTTGGGGCTAGTCCTGGTGGCACACACCTTTAATCCCAGCACTTAGGAGGCAGAGGCAGGCAGATCTCTTGAGTTCATGGTCAGCCTAGTCTATATACCGAGTTCCAGGTTAGCCAGGGCTACATAGTGAGATGGCTCAGCAGTTAAGAGCATTTGCTGCTCTTACAGAAGATCTGGGTTTGGTTTCCAGCACCTACATGGTGGCACAAAACTATCTGTAACTCCAGTTCCAGAGGATCACACACCTTCTGGCCTCCACAGGCACTGTATGCATGTGGTGAACATACATACACTCATGCACACGCACAGACATACAAATAAAATAAATCCTGGTGAGATGGCTCAATGGGTAAAGGCACTTGCCAACAAGCCTGATAATCTGATTCAATCCTCAGGATCCACATGGTGGACGGAGAAAACTCCAACAAAGTTGTCTTCTGACTTTTCATGAATGCACACTTCTGTGCATACAAGTACACACAACTAAAACACACATACAATAAATAAATATAGTTTTAGAAAACTTCATGAAAATGTTACCATGTTGGAATGTGGTTTAGGGGGATTAGCCTGAATCCATGTTCCTAGGGTATGGCCATTCATATGTGGCTCCAGAATAACCTCTGTTATTCACTCTGAAGTGAGACATGGTTTCACATAGCCCAGGCTGGCCTTGAACTTGGTAATGTAGTAAAAAATCTTAAACTTCTGGTCTTCCTGCCTCTACCTCCTGAATGCTGGTATCATAGGCATTCAGGGAGACAGATCTCATTATGTAGCCCTACCTGGTGTAGAACTTGTGCAGACCATACAGCCTTGAATTCACAGAGATCTGCCTCCTGAGTGCTGGGATTAAAGGCACATACTACCATGCCTGGCTATACCTGGTTTGTGAGAGCTGCATTTTTTTCCAGCAGTTTAAATCCTAGTTTCTTAACAATATAACAAAGGTAGAAGCCTCTCTTCCTCATCACTTGTATTCCATAATCACCAATGATACGGCCAAGAGGGCCTTCAGTCACCCAGTTCCTGAGCTGTGCTGTCCTATTTCATACCTATGCTTTCCTTGGCATCGGCTACACATCATAGTATTCATTGCCTCCTTGAGGTCATCTTGTAGCTTGGACAGAAACTCATTCACTGACCGGCTCAGCTCATTCTCTGCCATTCGTTTCCTAAAAGAAGAAAGCCTTTATAATTCAGAGGGTATTGAAAGAAGGGCAGGAAGAGACAGCTCTGGATGCCTCTCCTGGCTATGCTAGAAGACAAACAACTTCAGTTTTCTGTGCCTGAGAGTCTCCACCCACAAGTCCAGGGCCTTCAGTTGAGGAGCTCTCCAGTACTTCATCTGAAACTTCCCGTTTCCAACTCACATCTCATATTCTTTCCGCCTTTCAGGATTGCTGACAATGTCCCAAGCTGCCCGCAAAACCTTGAATGCTTCCTCAGCCCGAGGATGATGATTTTTATCTGGATGAACCTACCAAAACAGAAATTTCATCACAAATTGATGCCATTCCAACCTTCCCCACTGGTTCTATTCTTATAGCAGAGTTCTTTCATTACCCTTTTGGAGAATCAATATAGCTTAATGATTAATTGCTCTGGCTCTACAGACCTAAGTTGAAATTCCTGCTGTCATTTATTAGCTCTATGGTCTTAATATTTTTATCTGTCACAGACTGTTGACAGGATTAAATAACACATATAAGGCAACGTGGTGGCACACACCTTCAGTCCCAACTCTCAGGAGGCAGAGGCAAGCGGATCTCTGTGACTTTGAGGCCAGCCTAGTCTACATAGGGAGTTCCAGGCCAGGCAAGACTACCATAAGAAGGGGCTGGGAAGATGGCTCTGGGTAAAAGTGCTTGCCACATCAGTATTAGGATCTGAATTCCAATCTCCAGATCCCATGTAAAAGATGGGCTATACATAGCACAAGTGTTTATAATCCCTGTACTCCTACAGGGGATAGGAGTCCATTGCATAAGCAGTGGAAAAAAAAAATAAACCCTGTCTCAAACAAGATGGAAATACCTAAGGTTGTCCTGATCCCAGAACACACCCCATGTGTGCCCAAGTTTACACACAAAATATTACATATGAACTATATGGCACAGAATCTGGCACTAGGGTGATCTACCATCCCAGTTTGGAACTATCCAAGGTTAGCTCAGACAATCCCATGTGTCAGCAAACTCCAGAACTCCAGGCAAATAGATATTGGTGCCTCCCTACCTGACACACATATTTAAGTCCTTCCATTTTAAAACTCATTCCTTTCCAACTATATATCCAAAGCTGGTAGTAGCCAGGCTTGGGGGTGACACACCCCTTTAGTCCCAGCACTGGGGAGGCAGAGTGGTCCACATATCAAGTTCTAGGTCAGCTGGGGCTACAGGAAGACCCGGTCTCAAAAAGCAATATTCTTCATGGACATGCATAACATACATATAACCACACCTCTCTATGATTTATACTACCTTTTCCTTCCCTTTCATATTCAGGGTTACTGGTCTTAAAAATAACCTTTCAGTTTGGGTATGTAGCTCAGTGATAGAGCGCTTGCCTAGCATGCACAAAGTCCTGGACACCATCCCCAGTACAAGAAAAAAAAAAGCCTGTTTTCTTTTCTCTAGGTCCTGGAATAATCAACATGCACATTCTGAACCTTCCCATACCAGGTCCACACTTGCTTCTCTAGGACAAACTAGGTTTCTTCATGCTTAAAAAAATCCCACCTTTGGCAGGGCATGGTGGTGTACGCCTTAAGTCCCAGCACTCGAGAGGCAGAGAAAGGCAGATCTCTGTAAGTTTGAGGCCAGTCTGGTCTACATAGCGAGTTCCAGGCCAGCTGGGGCTACAGGGAGACTGTGTCTCAAAAAGACCAAAAGAAAAAAAAAAGAATCCCTCCTTTGCCAGGCATAATAGTGAACATCTGTAATCCCGACACTTGAGAGGCAGCAGCAAGAGGATCACAAATTCAAGGCTAGCTGGGGCTAAATAGCAAAATCCTACCCCAAAAAATACAAACAAAAAAAAAAACCTTTGTTCAGGGGAGAGCAACAGAAGTAATTTCTGCCCAGGCCTCATCCCCATCCTAATTAAAGGGACTTCACATGAAGTAAAATCAGTTCACATTACCTGTTTGTTATACAAGAATCCTCCTAACCTCTGCCCCCCAAAATATGACAAAAGACTTGAAATGGAGGGAAGGTTAGACCCCATAGTCAGAGAAGTCGTTATGACTCTATGAAGTCTTTATGACTCTGACTCTCCTTGGGGCTGGAGAGATGGCTCAGCAGTTGAGAGCACTGGCTGCTCTTGCAGAGGGCCCAGGTTCAATTCCCAGAACCCATGTGGCAGCTAGCAACCATTCATAACACCAGTTCAAGAGGAATGCAATGCCCTCTTCTGACCTCCATGGGCACTGCATATCATGGGTGCATTTACATGCATGCAGACAGTACACTCATACACATAAATAAAAATATATAAAAGAATGTTACCCTTAGCTAGGTGTGGTGGCACATGCTTATAAATCCCAGTACTCAGAGGTGGAGGCTGGAGGATCACAAGTTCCAGGCCAGCCTGGGCTACAGAGTAAGACCCTGTCTCAAAAAAAAAAACACAAAGGAATGTAATCCTTCAAGTTGGCCTCCTTTTCTGTCTTCCCTTGTTTCTACCCTTCCTGAAATTCAAATAGAAAATATGGGCGAAGAGGAAGAAGCAGAGGGTACTCACCAGCACAGCTAGCTGCCTATAGGCCTTCTTTAATTCAACGTCTGATGCTGTAGCTTCAACCCCCAGCACATGAAAAGGGTTTAGTTCATCCTCAGGAACCCCAGCCATGGTCAAAAGTCGAGCCACTTCCTGTTCCGGCTGGCAGTAGCGCCCACTAGTGACAGGTGCATGACCCTGCCTATTAGTCCTCTGCTTGACCCAAGGCAGCTCCAGCCAACCCCACTGAACTAATCTTACCAGCTGCTGCCATAGCCTGCTCTCTCTCAACAGAGTCCAGCAATGATGCAAGGCTGGAGAGTCTAGCCAAGAGAAGAGCCAGGTGGCCTTATCCTTCCAGCCTAACCGATAGCCCAGTCCCACCAGAAACCGCCAGCCCAACTGTAGACAGCCCAAAAGTAGGGCCAAAGCCAGGAGCAGGAAAGCACCCACCAGCCTAAGAAAGCGGGTGAATACCCCTGCCCCATAGTGAAAGCCCTGTCTTAGAAATTGGAATAGTACCTGGGCCCAGCCCCCTAATATTCCTGCCCAGGCGCCCACCCAAACTCGAAAAAGGTCCAGATCACTGCCTTTCAGCTGCCTACATGCATAAATGAGATGGCCGCAAGTTTCCACATACTCTCCCACCAACACCAGCAGTTCAATCAGCCACCAGAAGCCTGCCTGTCCAAGCTGACATAATTCCTCTACTCCCCACAGTCCCAAGCCTCTGCGTTTATCTGCCTGACTTCGTTTTCGGCCCAGCCGATGGCGGCCAGGGGACCTAGGATCTCTGCGTCCACTATCCCGCGTATCTTCCTTGGTCAGAAAGCGGTGCCTCTGCCTCCGGGATGGGGGCTTTTTTCCACTGGACACACGTGAAAAGTCACTGGGAAATTTAAGAGGTTCATCATCATCATATTCCTCTTCCAACTCTTCATCTTCCCCCAAGGCTGGAGATGTACAATGGTGGCAAAAGTTGTTAGAAGAGCCATCTCCTTCCTCAGAGGAAGGCCCTTCAGGGATTCCAGGGCTTCCCGGGCAGGTACAAGCAGATGGAATGGAAAGAAAAGAAGGGTTCCCATCCTCCTGGTACCCAGTCTCATTCTCTCTCGAGAGCTCCTGGTCAACTCCTGAGTCTTCTGAAGATGCCTCACTCTGATCCAGATGATCTCCTTCTATAGGTGGTCCTGGACCCCTTGGGGGACCATGGCTTGGATCCGACCAGTGGGCTGGGTTTGGGGGCTGGGTGTACTTAGGACCAGAGTGCTCTGTGAGGCAGCGGGTACCATTAGGTGCAGTCCCTGCTGAGTCCCTGAGTCCTGAGAATGAAAGTATTTCAGGGTTCACAGAGGGTTCTGATGTCCGGAGGGAGGCACCACCGCTATGGTGGGCTCCACACAACCCTCTTTCTCCGGGGTGCTTCTGGGCCATGACCCCGGGGCTTCCTGAGGATTTTAGGTCACAGCCATCATGGTAAGTTCTATTGCCTGTAACAAAGGTATCGAGGTGGGAACGGTCAAGGATAGGATTAAGCCAAGAGTTAATCTCAAAATGACAAACCCACTCCCCCTACCTTGTCAGCTCAAGTTCTTTCGGGACATTCCCTAACCCTCACAATATACCACAAGTAGGCTGACGACAACCTTGCTTGCACTGCCCCCGACGTCTTGCCCCCGGAAATCTGCTCTTCTTTCCCCAGGAAGCTAACATCTTCCATCTGGAGAAAAGGAAGATGCCGCATGGGGGGGGGGGTACTCTTAGAAAAAAGGGAAAGACGGCCGGAAAGAGGGAGGCCGCAGTCTGTCAGAAAAGGGTGGGGACCGTGCAGCTCTAGAGGAAAAGCTGGAGGTGGGGCTTGGGATCGCCCCAGAAAAGGCCAGCAAGGAGCCCACCGGCAGAGCAGACGGCGGAAGGAACATACCGAACAGCGGCGGTAACTCCTCCCACCCGAGCAGCTGCGCCTGGGGCCAGGGGGAGCTACGAGAGCAGCTCCCCCGGCTCCGCCTCCCGCTCACGCTCTGCTTCCGCCTTCCGTCCCGGCCGCGGCCGCCGACCTGCGCACACTTCCACTTCCGGGGTCACCGGAGAAAAGACGGGAAGGAAAAAGAGCGGTTGGCGGAGGCAGGAGCCGGTGTTGCTCGCGCGGAGTCCGAGCAGGGGGCGGCCCCGGGGCGCCTAGCCCCGCCCCTTAAAGCGCCCGCGGCTGCCGCGAGCAGCGGACCTCGAGGCGGAAGCGCAACCAGAAGGCTCTGCGGCAAGGCCTACGGCGGAGCACGCTAACGCTGTCGGGCGGTTCCCCGGGCTGGGCGGAAACTGAGAGATGGAGCACAGCCACCGAGCCGCACAGAATCTATTTTTCCGTGCAGACAACCAGGGAGCCAGCGCCCAGACTCCCTCCCCGGTCGGCTGTAGTACAGAAGCCCCTTTGTGTTCAGAAATGAAGCGGCGAAGCGGGTGTCCGGGGCTAAGCCTCCGCCTCACTCCAGCGAGGCACTCCTCTCCCAGGGACCCTAGGCCTTTCTGCACCTGACCCAGCTGGCAAGTGCCCTGGTAACTGCAGCGCCTACGCCGCTGCCCCTCCACCCCGCGTCGCGAGGCCAGGAAACTGGAAGGGTAGCTCTGCACCCGCGCCGAGCGCAACCGAACACTGCACTCATCTGCGTGCTGCTTTGCATCTCATTTGCATACCAAGCCTTTAGGTCGACGCCTGCTTGCGCCCCTGCCCCCACGCAGCCCCTAGTAGATCATCTCTTCTGCACACGCTTCTAAAGCCTTACAGTTCTATCAATGTCCCTGCCAGGCCCTGTCTTCCTCCGCAAGTTCTTTCACCAGGAACATCCCCGCCAGCACCCTCAGACCACTAAAAGTCCCTTGCCCGCATCCCGGATCCCAACCACCGGGTCTCTCCAGAAGACAATACTCCAATTCTCTGGGAAGTGGAAGAAACCAAGATGGACCTGGGGGAGGCTGAGAGACCCCCAGTTTTGAGGCTTTGAAAACATCAAATTGTCGATTCATCTCCTAAGCATTCAGAGACTTTTCCTTAGTCTTGGTGTGCCCCCCCAGTCCCTTCATTGCTATGGTTTGGGGGCTCCTGGCCCTGGATTAGAGTAGTAAGCAATCCGGGTCACCCCCACAGACGTTAAGGATTAAAGGAACCCACCCTGTGATGTCACCCTCCCCCTCCCGTAAACACACCCTGACCCCTTTCTCCACCCCCCAACCTAGTTGAACGTAGCTCTCAGGGCTAGGGCTGCGACTTGCCTGGAGTGTAGAGCGCTACAACCGAGTGGCCCTTGGGGGCTTGCCTACTTGCTGACGGCTACCCCGGCGCCTAAGACCTCTGGGCTGGCATACAACTGGAGGTCCAAGGAAGCAGTTCCACCCCTTTCCTCTCCTCAGCCCTGGCAGGGTGGTGAGTAGTTAACATCCTAACATTTCCTTGTTTAGGGTCCGAGACTTCTACACCATAGAGCAGAGCCCCATGAGTTTCCCAAGCCAACCTTGAGCCTATTAAGACCTCGATATCCAAAAGACCGCTGAAGGAAAAGGCTTGCATCTGCACCACCCTATTTCCACAGCACCCCAAATGCCAACCCTTCCTCAGTGATCCTTCAGGACCAGAATTCCAATCCCATTGACAGCACAGACACGCCTGGGTGAAAGGGTGGATAGAAAAAGTTGCATCCGTGTCTGAGGCAAATAGCGAGGATGAGATGGCTGTGGACAGGCTCCTGCTTCCTCCATGTAGGGCCTCGGGATTTGAACTGGCTGCATCCTGCTTTCCTGAACAACTCTATTTCCACATGAAGTCAGACTTCAAAATCCTGACAAACTGAGGGTGACTCTTAAGTCCTTTTCCTAAATTCTTTTTCTGTTTTTTCCCTTTTCTTCCTTGGGGTTGGAGTAGTTGTCCTGAGAACCCCCCAACATGAGTCATTCCTCTTCCTTCCTCTCCCCTGTTAACCCTGCTCTGTCCAATCCAGTGTAGTTGGTGTTGAGTCCCAACTACAGATGAGGCAAGATTTCTTTTTAGTTGGACCCAGCGGCTGGGTCTTTAGCCCCAAGGCCATTAATGCCCCTGCATCGCTCCCCCCACAGATCCAGAGCATCCTACTCTTTTACCCTCACCCTGGAAAACTAGGGGACAGACAAGAGTGTGTTGCCTTTGAGATTTTCACTCGTTTAAAGTTTTATTTACTGGTTTTCTTGTTTCAGAGGGTGGTAAATTTCTCCTCTACACAGTCCTGTAGGCTTCTTCACATACCCCACCAGGACCATTCTCTCTCCTGGAATTGGTTGTTCTTCCAAAGAAATAGAAGTCCAGAGTCCTCGAGATTTATGGTACAGCTCAGTGGGGTGGCTACACACCTTTAATCCCAGCACTTAGGGGGCAGAGGCAAACAGATCTCTGAGTTCAAGGCCAGCCAGGGCTCAAAAGAAAAAAAAAAAAAAAAAAAAGATTCATGGTACCTAAGTTTCTGCTCTTCCCATGCAGGTTTACCAACCCCCTCAAGACATACATGGATGGATAAAAGGAGCTGACCCTAATCTTCCACTCTGGGACCATCTTCTCTTGGGCTATGGAGAAAACCTTGTTACCCCTGACTATGACATCTGACCCAAGGCCCTTTAATCAACAACTCCCAGAGCCTCCAGACAGAAGATGTGTCTTGGAACCCCAGGACAACCTTGAACTGGCACCTGCCCTGGTGTGTGTCCTTTGCTGCTGCTTTGGAATCGTCTACTGCTGCTTCGGTGAGAGCAAGGCCAGGGTCCTGGGGGGCAGCAGCCTTAGACTGTTCTCACGAATGACGGTAGCTTCCTTGTTCCTGGGCCACTTCACCTCCTCTATCAGGAGACACTTCCCTTCAGAGTTTCGTATGCCACCTTTGCCAGCATCTTGGCATTCTGCTTGCCCATGCGCTCTGGTTCTCACCCCTGGCATCTATTTGCCTTTTCCTTGCCTCCTACCTCAAAACTCCATTCCCAGATGATCCTTCTCACTTGAGATCCCACCTTTCCCCAGCATCCTGCATCAATATGTGATTTCCTGTATACCATCCCTGGAAGGCCCAGTCATTGTGTTATGCTTTCTCTCCTCAGTACATCTGCTTCACCTCCTGATTTTCTCTCCCATCTCCCTAGACCCCCTGCATGTCCTCCCTCCCTGCCTGGACTTATCCCTTTCTGCCCTTTGCTTTGAGATCCCCTGGTGTGCTGCCCCTAGCTTCTGCTGCTCTGGTTAGCTGTTCCTCTCCCGATACATCAGAGCCATCCCTGTACAGCCCCCGTTCTGCCTCCCTTCCCAGGCTACCGCTGCTTCAAGGCAGTCATGTTTCTCTCGGGCCTGCTGTCTGGAGCTCTGGTGATCTTCCTGCTGTGCCACAAGGAGCGGGTACTGGAAACACAGTTGAGCCTGGAGGTGAGCGCGGGCATCGCGCTGGGTATCGGACTCCTCTGCGGTCTTGTCACCATGCTGGTTCGCAGTGTCGGGCTCTTCCTGATTGGTCTCTTGCTAGGTTTTACCCTGGGCGCTGGGGCATTACTGGGCACTGAGTCCATCTACCAACCACCTTCAGCCTGGGTGCCAGCCGGTGGGCTGATGGGGCTGGCGCTGCTGGGAGCTCTGTTCACACTTCGGTGGCCACGTCCATTCACAGTCCTGGGCACAGCCCTGCTGGGTGCTGCGGTGCTGGTGGCCTGTGCTGACTACTTCGTGGAAGGGCTGGCACTCGGTACTCGACTGGGTGAACGCCTGCAGGCACTTCCAGCCTTGCTTCCTCTTTGCTGGTATAGCTGGGTCTTACTGGGGACCTGGCCAGCCTTGGGGGCTCTTGGGGCCCTGGCCCAGTGGAAACTCATGGCTGAGGAGCGTGGAGGCCGTGCCAATGGTGAGTTAGTGCTGTGGTACAAAAGCAGCCAGTCTGCACCCACTACTGTTCCTGGTTCCTACACTTGAGGAGAGGAAGGGGAAATAAATAGACACTTGAGAGATGAGGATGGGGGAGGAATCCAAGACAACTAGGGCAGAGTATGAAGAAAAGTTAGAATTGAAATATCCAAAGCAGGTCTGGGCAAGAATGAGAAGAAAAAAGCACCAGGGGGTACAGGGAGGAGTCACTGGGGCTGTTGTGAAAGCATTGGAGCCAGAGAAGTCTAGGAGGAAAGTGAAGAATTCCAGTAGCCAAAAATAAGTTGGGGCTCAAGAGACACATAACAGAAAGGCCAGATGGGTTTCTATGGAGTATGAGTGTGTTTCAGGTTGGTATTCAGGACCTAAAGAAGCCTCTTTGAATCTGTATCACCTCCTCCCAGTGGTCTTGAGCCACCAGCGAAGGCATCTCCAACTCCTTCGGATCCACCAGCAAGAGGCCAAGTGGCATCGGACCCCCTCTGGGGTGGGACTGTGTGAGGGCAGTTGTCAGAGCCAGTTTCCCCCCAATATCCGGAGCCCTGCTGACAGCCTGGCTCCAGTGAGTGGGAGGATGGGACACCCTGGGGCAGGGTGGGGGGCATGTGGAGATGGCTAGGGTGAGTGGGAGCTCTAACCAGACCTTTCCTTCTCTCTGCCCTATATTCCTTCAGAGTTATCTCCAGAGTCTTCGAGAGTGCCAAATGGGACCAAGCACCCAAGCCACAGCACCCCCCACCACCATCCTGGACCTGGATTCTAACTGTAGTTACAATGTCTTCCTCACCACACCCCCTCACTCTGCCCAGACCTGAGCCTAAGCCTCCATTGATGCCCCTACTTCTAGTGAGGGCAGGGGATTGCTACATAGATAGCAATCCATGAGCCCACAGGACCCACACAAAAACTGCCCCCCCTCTTTGGACTTTGGCATAGGTTCTCTGCCCAGAACAGCCCTGTAGAGACAGGCAGAGAGGGCTCTTATAGGGATGGGGGAAGAACGGAAGTGCCTGCCTCTGCCCATTAATAGCAATGCTCTGGTCCTAGAGACAGACTCTAAACCAAGGAGGACCCTTGCCCAAAATAGCTTTTTTTCTGCAATGCTCAGATGCAACCTAGGGTGTTGCCCATAGTAGGCAAGCAGTCTACCACTGAACTACATTCCCTATTCTCAAACACCCTTTTAAATATGTCTCAGAGTTCCTCACAATAGTAAAATAAGAGGCTTTATTGCAGAATCTATAGAAAATCAGGGCGCCCCCCTAAGGCATTTAATAGGGTTTTTTTTTTAATGAGAATGGCACAGAAGAGCTCCAGGAGACCCCCAGTCCCTGGGCTCCTTATCAGGGAGTAATTGGGTTTCTGATTGACCTTTCCCCCCTGGACCCCATAGGCCTGAGTCCCCTTCTACCTCAGTGAGGGGGCACCATTCTCCATGGTGCTTTCCTTTCTCTCAGTGGGGGAAAGACCACAGCATCTGCCTCATGATCCATGTCCCCCAAATCTGGCTTCTTGCTCCAAGAAGACAGCCATCGGCCCACCTGCCTGAGTCTTACCTTTTTGCTCAGAGGAGCCTGGTCATCAGGGCTGCAAGTAGACAAGTGCCTTTTCTGCCTCTCACTGTGGATAATAATAGTTTCCTTGAAGACCAGAATTTTCTTTTTTTTTTCTTTTTTCTTGGGGGGGGGTTCTTTTTGAGATGGCCTCCCTCTGTAGCCCAGCTGAACTTGATGTGTAAATCAGGCTGGCCTAGACCTCACAGAAATCCACCTGCCTCTGCCTCCAGAGTGCTGGGACTAACAGTGTACACTACTAAACCCAGCTTTCTAAACCAGAATTTTGATCCAGCCACCCATTCTAACTCTCCCTCTGCTGACTCTCCTAAGGAAGGTCTGTTCCCTAATTTTCCAGACAACCTGAAGGAAGACATATCCCTCCCCTGAGCAGCAAAACTGTAATGGGAGTGAGGAAGAATGTGGGAACCTGGGAATAAAATGGCACTGATGATTCAACCAGGAAGTCCAGCCTCTACTCTTGCTGCTTTTTACTTTTTCCACACCACAAAACAAAGAGATAACCATGTTAACAAATCTGTCCCAAGAAGTCTGTTAGGTAGAGCTACCTTTATCATATACACCACTGTGGCACTCCACACCCAAACAGCTCAGGCCTCTCTTAGGTACATGGAGTTAGCCTTTATTAAATACAAATGTGCCCAACATTGTCAGGTACTTCACACAGAGTATTTCATTTAACAGAACAATCCTACAGCATTGATAGTAATTTTGTTAATGGGGAATCCAAGGTTCAACAAGGTTAATTAGCTTGCTGAAAGCCACGGTCAAGTGGCTCAAGGACTCCAAAGCCCATGCTTTTACTGGCCATGCTGTTTAGAACAGAACCTGGGCACCCAGTAGCCCAGCTGTTTCTTTCTAGCAGCTAAAGACCTAATTGACAACCTCCTTCCATCAGTTGCCAGCTTTGATGACACAGGTGAAAGTGAAAAATGATTAGAGTTGGGGACTGAAACAGAGTTAAGGGAGCATCTCCTAGGAGTTAAGGAGCCCAGGAAAGTGGTGGCCAGAGTTGGGACTCTTAGAGGCATGAGGTCTGTGGTTCTTGTTCATGCTTAGCACCTGCACAATCCTAGGGGGGCAGAAGTGGATTAGTTCTTAGGCCCCTAGCAGGGTGACATTAGCAGGGAGTGGAAGGGTGGCAGAGTCTGTAACTGAGGGGGTAGTGCCCAAGGTTGAGTCTGTGGCTGAGGGAGTGGTATCCAAGATTGTGTCTGTGGTTGAAAGAGTGATGTTCCCAGTTGATGAAGTAGTGCCTGGAATCTGAGGACGACAGTGCATCCAGTTGTGGGCGATATTTCTTGGATAGCCCTTCTCCACTAGAAGCTGCCGGGTAAGGCGCCAGTACTCTTTGCCCTTGAAGAAGTAGACTCTGCCATCCCGCCAGCTCATAGCAGCTGAGGGCTGGTCTGGTGCGCCAGTAAACAATTCCTTGATTGGTTTGGGGTAGCGGCTGAGGTCAGTTCTGGCCAGCTCATCCCATTGCCAATATCCTGAGTCCTGGGGATGGTAGGGTGAATGAGAAGAGGGAAATGACTTTAGGGATCGCAGAGGCGGACTCTACACTGCAGGAGGTTTCTCTGTAAGGGTGAAACTCTCAGTGTAAAGTCTGCCCACCCCTCCTCAGAAGGGATTAGCCCTGGCATTGAATTTTATACCTTAAAAAGGAACACCTTTTGATTAACAGGCCAATAAAGCGCTGCATCCAGGTTGGGTTCTACCTTGTTCAATTTCTTGGGAAAGCCAGGAGACATCTTGAAATTAATGTAGCGCCAAACCTTGTCTCCTGGGAACGTTCAAAAAACAAGGCACCTCTGTCCTGGGGTGGGAGTTTAGGTCCTCCATCCCACCTTCTCAGAAGCTTCCCTGCTCCTCCTCCCATTTGCAGGTTTTTGTTTTGTTTTTTTATGACCAGGCCCTTCAGTAAGACCTAAGCAGCCCCCTTACCCTTAAAGAAGTGAATCCATTGTGTTCGAGGAGAGTAGACAGCAGCATCCAGGTTTCCAGGGAGCCCTTCCCAAAGGGCAGACACCCTGAATAAGGGGCCCAGCCCTGAATCTGTCACAGTCCACACATAGTCCCCCTTGAAGGCATAGGTCTTCCCACGGGGCCCTGAGAGCAGAAGTATGTCAAAAAGTCAAAAAGACAATGAGCCTTGTGGGTTCCCAGGTAGGCTGATAATGCCTTCCTGCCCACTGCCAGCTCTTCAAAAATCATTCAACTCCAAGGAGAGAAAGGCAGCAGAGGACACAGTGCTCGTTATCTCCTTTGTCCTTTACAGCATTTTAACTCTGGCCCACTACACAAAAACCCGCTTTCCTCACTAAGGACCCTCCTGCTCCACTCCAGGTAGCTTCTAAGTTCCCCCAACCGAGTGCAAAGTCTTCCCCAGTAGGCATTCTACAGGTGTATTTTGCTGCATTCCCACGTGTATTTTTTTTTTTTTTTGTCTTTTAGAGACAGGGCCTCCCTGTAGCCCCAGCTGACCTGGAACTCACTATGTAGACCAGGCTGGCCTTGAACCCA